ATATGTTTTTGCTTTATAAATAATAAGTTATTAATAAAATAAACAAATAATAATAATAAAGTAAAATTAGCATAGATATGAGCAATAGCTATGCAACTGATAAACGCTAGTTAAAAGTTAAAAACAAATAAAAAATGAACCAAAACTAACATAAAAATGACCACTGGCAAAGCAACGGCTAAACGCTGGTCGAAAAACGGCTGCCATGCATGGACCATGCATTAAACGGTAGGCAACACTAGGTTTGAGCCATGTGTTGCCTACCATATATATTTATATATATATATATATATATATATATATATATATATATATATATATATATATATATATATATATATATATATATGTATATATATATATATATATATACATATATATGTATATATATATATATATATATATACATATATATGCATATATATATATATATATATATATATATATATATATATATATATATATATATATATATATATATTTATATATATATATATATATATATACATATACATGTATATATATATATATACATATATATGCATATATATATATATATATATATATATATATATATATATATATATATATATATATATATATATATATATATATATATATATATACATATACATGTATAAATATATATACATATATATGCATATATATATATATATATATATATATATATATATATATATATATATATATATATATATATATATATATATATATATATATATATATATATATATATATATACACATACACATATATACACATGTACACACACTCGTATACATACACATACACATATATACATACATATTTTTATTATTATAATTTTTTTTTTTTTTTATAATGTTTTTTTTTAATTTTTATACTTTTTAGAATTTTTTATTTTTTTTTCAATTTATTATAATCATTTTTACATACTAAGAATAAGCAGCTTTGCTTGCGGTTTAAACGACAATATTCAATTTAAGTCTTTTAACTTTTGGTTTTTCAAGTATTTCTATTTTTTAGGACCCTGTGACATAATTGAAAAATCGGAACCCTGGGTTTTAGTTTTTTTAATATAACAGTTATGGAAGCTATTTGATCGCAGGTTATAACTTTGAGAAAATGATCACGAAAATATGTCTAAGAAAGAATTTGGTAGCATATTATTTTTACATTTGAACATAAAAATAAGAGTCTGATATAAATTAACTTTTTCCAAGTTTAAGACTTTCATATTTGTCATCGCATTGGAGGGATTGTCCATATTACCCAGATAATGAATTGCTTTACACGCATGGTTTTGCAAGCCTTGTAGTTTGACTAATTTTTTTTTTTGTATTAGCCCACACTATATTAGCATATCTAAGATGACTCTGAATTAGACTAAAGTAAAGTTTTACTCTTGATTAGAAATCAAGAAACGGGTGACATTTATATAAGATACCTATTGCAGATGATATTTTTGTTTCAATGTGTCCAATATGATTTCTCCATGATAAACTTTTATCAATATAAACACCAAGAAAATTAGCATATTTTTCCCGTTTTATTGTTTGTTTTTAATGAGCATTTCTGGAACTTTTAACGGTAGAGTCATTGATTGACCTGTTTTATGAAATAGGATGTAGTTAGTTTTGTCAGAGTTTAATGATAGTTTATTTCCTCTGAACCATAAATTAAAGTTTTCCAGTTCGGCATTTATTGTTTCGAACATCGATTTTAAATTACTATGATTATGAAATAAAGTTGTTTCATCAGCATACATTATTGAAGATACTATAGATGATGCTTTGTGCATATCATTGATGTAAATTAAAAACAATAACAGTCCTAAGATTGAGCATTGAGGGACCCCACACTCAATATCAAGACCACTTGACTCTTTGTTAATTACAAACTGCTTTCTGTTACTCGGATAATTTTTTACCCATTTATACATTAGTTCTTTGATACCATAATGTTTTAATTGTAATAGTATGATGTTGTGGTCAACTGTATCAAACGCATTTGAAAGGTCTATATTTATACTTCCAGTACATGATCTCCTTTATCAAAAAAATGAAAGATTTTATTAGTAAGTTCAATGATAGCCTGTTCTGTTGAGCAACTTTTTTGAAATCCAAATCGATTTTCACAAAAAAGTTTGTTTAACTTCAAGTAATTATAAATTCGATTGTAGATTACTTTTTTATAAATTTGAGAGAACTCTGGTAGGAAGGAAATTGGACGGTAGTTATACATATTATTATAATCTCCATTTTTATAAACAGGATTGACTTTAGCACTTTTTAGCATATCAGGAAAAGCACTGTGTTCAAAAGAAGGCGATATTAGATGAAATAAGGGTTTTCTAATACATTCAATGACGTGTATTGCTGCATTGCTAGTAAGATTACTCGTCATTCATGGATTTTTAACTCTTTATTTTTTACTTCAGATGTTGTTATGGGACAGACAGTATCAAAAATACATTTAAAAGTAGACGTAAAATTCTTAAATGCCTGATTTTGATCCTTAGCTGAGTATACATTTTTCCAGGACTCCTCAAATAGTTAATTTTTTAAATTATCGAGATTTTTTATACTGAGGTTTTTTTTTAGTGAGAAGACATTTTTTAATATTACTATTAGATAGAAAACCACGTGCAATGTGAAAAATGGGGAAATGATCAGAAAAATCATCAATTAAAATACCAGTTTCAAAATCAAACGTATAAGAGTTGTTTGTTAAAATATTGTCAATGGCAGAAGAAGTTTTTTACGTAATACTTGTTGGTTTAAAGATAGTAGGAACTATATAAAATTCAAATAATGATTTAAAAAAAGATTTAATGTTGCAAAAGTATCTATATTTAAATCACCTGCAAAAAATATATACTTATCATGTTTACACATTCGTGATGTTATATTTTCTAGTTATTTATAAAATTATTTTGATTTCCACTAGGTGGTCGATATAATGAGGAAATAAGTAATAATTTGTTGGTTTTGTTTAAAACTTCTATACATAAGGTTTCTATATGTTTATTTGTTTTGCTACATGCTTTTTTTTTTAATTTAAATTTTTCACCAATATAGATAGCAACTCTGCCTCCGATGCCGTTCACTCGCAGTTGGCTAATCAATTTATAAAGTGCTAAACTATAAAGAGAATTTTTAACAAAGGCATATTCGCCTCCTCCCATGTTTCTAAAGTACAAATTACATCAAACAGATAATTTAAAGAGTGATAGAAATTTTTAAAAGATTCAAAATTTTTACTCATAGAGCGCATGTTTACATTTAAAGTGCTGTAATTTTCTTTGACTTTTCCTTTAATAAATTTATCAGGTTTATAGTATTCATTGCTTAAGAATTTAGTATTTAAATAGTTTATATTATTGTATTCATGATATTTTAACTTTTCTAAAATAGGAGATTTAAAGTTTTCAAAGTTTTTTTTGGATTGTTAAAATTATCGATTTTAGTCATATTGCTTTTTATCATTAAAAAAAAAAAGTTAAATCAAGAAATTCAAAAACAAATTGTAAAAGCTTACTTAAGTTGTTTTGTCACCGGCTTTATTCTCAATCAGCATATCTCTAACAGTTAAACGGTTATAATTCATCTTTGCATATTTGCCGTTACTTTTATGAATTTTAGCTTGAGCAAAAAGTTTTTTGCGTATTCTTGTTTTTTATTCGCTAAAATCTTCGTTAACAAATATTTTTTTTTCCTTTTAACTTACGAGCGTTTGTTAATATTGTCTCTTTATCTTGCCAATTGAATATTTTGCAGACGATTGTCCTTGGTCTTTTTTCTAACTTTCCGACTCTATGAGCTCTTTCAATTGTAATAGACTCATTTATTTTAAGGTCCTTTTTAATGAGGGTTTTAATTTTTTTCAATACAACTTCATTGGTTTCGTTTACTCCTTCTTTAATGCCTACTATTTTAAACTATTTTGCCGGTTATGATCTTCTAACTCAACAGTTTTGCGTTTGTTTTCTGTCGCCTCGTTTAATAATTTTCCTTGAAAAAACTTTATTCCAACTATTGTTTCTTTTATTATCGCCATATAACTATCTACTTTATTTACTTTGGTTTCAATATCATTTCCAACAAAAGTAAGTCCTCGTTTTATTTCTTTAACATCCTTTTCAAATATTAGTATTCTTTCATTAATGCTGTTAAAACTTTCTTTAAAACATTTTAGATACATAAGTGTCTAATATATACATAATAAAATAATGAATATAAAAGTTTGTTTTCTTATATATTCGTTATATAATTTTTGTAGCTCTAATGGTATAAAAACTTGCTTATTTTAATATGGCTGCTAAGGGTATCTAAACTACACTGTTAAAATTTAATTAACTGTTCCAGTAAATCTTTATAGTTGAGAGTGTTTTAAAAGTTTTTATTTCATTTTTTTAAGAAATTTTTAATTTAAAAAAAGTTTCAAAAAAAACTACCGACTGGTTTCTAAGAGCCCATAACAGCATAGCAACATTAAAAATTGATAATTTTTTGTTTGTGTTATCATTCGAATACATAAATTAACAATGTAGCATTAAAATCAGTTTAGTTTATAACTTTGATATTTTGAGAAAGTTTTTTTTTTGGTAACTACGCAAAATGCCTCTTACCTAAATAAAAAGACAACCAAATAAACAATCTAATGGTGCCATTAGATTGGTTATATGAAATATACTCAAGCTGCTAATTATGGGAAAAACCTGATGCATATTTTCAAAGTTATTGATTTTGTCCAGCTAATAATGTTTTTGGCCCACTGTGCGTTGTTGAAAATGCGTTTTGCCGCCATCGGTCCGCTATTCAATCGCTTGAAGTTTGCTGCTAACGGTCCGATGTAAATACAATGTGCAAGCCAACGCGGCAACGCAGCCAACGTCGGCACGGCATATGAACTGACAACGGTCTGTTGTCGGTCCAACTACTTAATGTTTGCTGAGTAATGATTTTTCAGTTCATATTTGTTTAGAAAAAAACAATATCTTTGTAGAGTAAGACAGATCTTACAATTTCAAACTAAGATTATTTGAAAATGAGATAAAAGAAAAGAATTAAAAAAATTGTATGGCTATTAAAATTTAAAAATAATTATCTAAAAAAAAATATAATTTTCCACAAAATGTCATAACTAGGTTACAGCTTTTTGAGAATGTTTAAAAAAAATTTGTGTAGCTAACAAGCTACACCAATTTTCGAAAATAATTAATAAATTATGTTAACACATTACTAATATAATTACAACTTAATAAAAAATTATTGAGTACAATCCATTTTAAAATCATTATAAAATAAATGTTATCGCAAAATGTTATTATTAATTTGCAAATGTTATTTAAAAAATAATAAGTTTTGATGTCCCAAATTTCATGAATTTGAACGTTGTTCAATTTATCGTTTTATCCAATCATAAGACTTCAATTGCAATGCATTTGGTCGTGATGCCGGTTCTCTATAACAGAAATTAAAAACTCTTCGTGTTTATAAAAACGAATAAACAATAAATCATTTTTTCTAAAAACAGCAATTAAACGACAAAACAAGATATAAAATATATAATAAGACTTTGAATAAAAAAAGTTTAAACAAATAAACTAATCTTATTTTTTTTATTTAGTGCTTACCTTATAAAACAATCATATACAAACTTAACGCAAGAGCTTGACAAGTTTTCAGGTAGATCGGGTTTCGTTAATTTATAAGCAATATAGAACATAGCAGTTGTTTCCTCTAAATGAGACCAAGGCAGCTTCGTTGTTAGCATTTCCAGTACAGTACAACCAAATGACCTGTTTAATAAATAAATTATTTTGATTATCGTCATTATCACGATCATAATAATGATTATAACGATGAGCAAATTATGCATGATAACAATCATTATTATGCAAAAATTCATTTTATTAAAAATTTTTATTTGATTAGTATAGCTTAGCAACTTTTATAATTAAACAATTCTAATCTATAATTCAATGTTGCAATATTAATACCTGTTATTTTGCCATAATTAATGAATAATGAATATATTAAAAAGAAAAGTTTGTTTTAATTCTGTGACTAATATTTATTTGTTTTAATTAAATTAGTTAAAACAAAAACTAATGCATGTTCATGATTAAATTTTCGAAGGATTTGATAGTTAAATGAGATGGTTTAAATTATTTACAATGATGTGATGAAATATAAGTATAGCAATCGGTGTGATTTTTGTTAATTATGCCCATAATTAACATCAAGGACTTTGATTTGTCTTCCACTGCAAAGGCTTAAATAGCCACAATTTTTGTTAAATGTTAATTAATGTAAGCTCATATAGCAGACAAATTTTATCTACCTAATAATAATCTAAAACAATAAACAAAATATTGAGTCTGAGAAGATAATATTAAATAATAAAACAGTGAAAAACTTGTATGATCAGGACACTAGAGTAATACTCTTAAACCAGCGGTTTTCCTGCGCACATATTTTATGGATGCCTTCTTATATTTCTTACACTTATATTCAGAGGCGATTTTACGGGTGTGTGTAGGGGTGTTACACCCCTCCCCCGAAGATAGTGATTTTCAAGTTATAGTAGGTTTTTTCACGAATTTAGTGTCGGCTAGTCGAATATTTGACACAATTCAGTTTTTTAAATTTTCTTTTTTAGGACCTTTTTTAAGAACTTTCTGAGGATTCATCCCCTCCCTCATTTTATTCTTAAAATCGCCTCTGCTTATACGAAGAGTGTTTTCTACAAACAGAGTGATCAATGTTCTTAAAGAACAGAGCAATAATAAATTAGTAAAAACGCTTTACTAATTATCATCAACAAGCTGTTTTGCCATCAGTAGGCTATTCAGGAGAATGTCTAAACACCAGCAAATTTAAGTTATAAAAAAAACGTTTCGCAGGAAGTTGGGTATTGATTTAACTATGTAATAACTGTAAATATTTTGCAACCAGGAAGTTGCTTCTACTACATTAAAATTGAAAAATTAATTATGAAAAGAATTTTTTAGAATTAGGATAATTTTAATCATTTGTTATTATAATTTTTTATTAGGTACTTGTTTTCATGTCTGCATTTAGAAATTAATTCAGATTTTTTGTTCAGGAAATTTTCTTGATCCAAATGGGTAATAATTTTTGTAAACATAGTATATATTTTTTGAAGATGTTATCATAAACAGGCTCAGTTTTCAGAATAGACTAGTTTAATTAAAATAAAGTTTTTTTCTTTAAGTTGCCAAATATATTTTGAAAGCAATCTCTTTTGAGTATTTTTTATGTTTAAAAAATTGTTTGCAATCAGCTTAACATTTTTTCCATTCGCCTTCGGTTAAGACAATATATTGTTTATCAGGGTTGTTTTGCAAAGAAATAATGCATTTAAAAATTATATTTTTGATTACTTCCTGTGAAAAAATAGTTTTGAATTTTCTATATTTTGAATTTTTTGATGTTTAGACATTCTTCCTGATGAACTAATGGCGAAACAACTTGTAGAAGAAAGTTAGATAAGTGTTTTTACTAATCTTTATTAAAAATAAAATATTAGTTTTAAAAACGTTTTACAAAAGGTCAATACTACTAAATTTTTTATTGAGATTTATCTCGAAATATGTAAAAAGCATCAATAAGACATTTAGAAAAACAGCTGTAGTATTGTAATTCACTAAATCGCGACCTTAGACTTATCTTGTTCTATCTGCACTACTTAAGAAAAATTGAGTGATAGATAGTGTTGTGTAGTTTAGAATAATGATTTTCTACTGTTTTAAAACCTAAGTTACAAGTAATTAAATTGCAAGGAAAACATAGGTTATTATAATGTTTTTATATGCCGTCTCCTTAATTTTTTATATTTAAATCGTTTTATCTCTAAACTCAAAATTGTGGAAACAGAACAAGATAATTCTAACGTCACGAAATGCTAAATCATTGTTTTAACAGTAACTTTCAAGATTTCAAATTTACTTAATTTCTATTAGCCAACAGCTTTTTTTTTAAAAAAAACCAACAGCAAAAACCAAAAACTAATTCACTTTCAACAGGCTGAAAGCAGCCAATACTTCAGTTCGGAGTTACTTATAGAACAAGCATTTTATTGTGGAATTTGAATGGGCCTATATTGGCATTTTGAGTAATCTACTTTAGTAGCAGCCAATAAAAGTGGCAAGCTGATGACTAGACAACGTATTACTTAGTGGAAATTTGTTGGCTGGCTGTTTATAGCAGACGCTACTACTGGTTCCCTAAGTCATGCCGAAACATTTGTCATCCGTAAGTAACATCATAATGCCTTTTATATCTTAACGCAAAAAAAATGGAACATTTTTAAATAGCAATATAAAAAGAAAAATAGGTTATTTGGTGTACTTGTTGTATTACCAAATAGGTTAATTGGTGTACTTAAAGTATTATTCTTTTACATATAAAATTTACCTTTTTATATTTATTTGTTGTGTAAAAACTCTAGGTATTCTTAGTTTATATTTTAAAAGTTGAAACTAATTGTATTTTTATAAATAATAATTACAACTAAAATGCAAGTAAGTCTTTAATCAAACTCAATGTTCGGTTGATTTTTCAATTGTAATAAACTCATTGCTGAACTATTGATTGAAAAAATTACATTAAATAAAGATTGTCATCGCTTATAATTAACATTTATATTAACGTTGCTGCTGCTGCAGCTGTTACCAATTGGCGCACCTTTAACACAGAGTTTTTACCATACTTGACCTTTTAATATTTCTCTTTATATTTTTGACCAAGCAATAAGGTATTCTTAAATCTTTATCAGTTCATTAGTAATAAGATCGAATGATCGAAAACTTTTTAATTTGATGACTTCTGCAGTAATGGATAAACCTTATGTTATTTTTAAATGAGTAAATTACCTGAATTTAAAAACTTTTAAAGTAAGGTAATTTAGAATAAAATTACCTGACTTTTAAAAAACTCCTAAAGTCAGGTAATTTATTCAACTAATAGACTTTAATAATAATTTAATTCAAGCCAATTGTCAATTGTATTTAAAGTATATTAATTTTTATTTTTAAAGAAAATTAACTGAAAATATACGATGATGACTCTAGAAGACGATGCTCTTTTCAAAGGTCAAAACGTCAAACTCTTCATTAAGTAAATGTTTATCTATGAAATCTCTGCATCTCACACGGTCACCTCTATGATGCATGTTGAAGAACAAAACCTTATTTTAATGAAACTGAAGAAAATTTGATTGCTTTTATAATATAAAGTTATATTAAATATATAGTAAATATAAATTATATATATACTATACAATTACAGGTAAAAAAGTTTGCAGTGTTAATCTTTAATGTTATTACTTTTTTTATCATGTCTTAGTTTTTTTTATTTTAGACATCTTGCAATGGTTTTTCAGCTTATTGCAGATCAAAAAGAGGGCCCACATTTCATAAGGCACTTAAGGTGTGAGCTAAAATTAAGGCCAACAGTTTGCTTTCCTCCTTTTTCTTTTAATAAAGAGTGTTAATCTAAAGTATAAAGTATGAGGAGAGTGGTTGGAAAATATACGCTGCATCTATAACTATTATTTTAATTAGTTTTTGTAGTTGGTAAATCTACCAATTGGTGATAATTGCATTGGCTCCTGCAGGATTTTTTGATGTTTCAGATAGGACACTTCCACACATTGTGCAAACTCCAAACTTAAGTATGTTCATACCTATGCCAAACGAGGAAGGCTTGCAAAAATTAGGGAGGGCGGAAATCTGGGAACAAAAAAGCTCTAAAATGTTTGCTCCCCCTGCCCAAACGTGAGGCACTGAAGTAGTAAAATTTTCAACTTTATTATCTTAAACTAAACTTAAATTTATCGACAGATTTTAAATTTCGTAGAAAAATTTTGTAAATTACAAAAGTTATGACCATGCAAAATTTACACCCTCTCATTTTGAGGGGTTGGTTTTTGCAAGGCTTCCTCATTTGGTATAGGTATGAACATACTTAAGTTTGGAGTTTGCACATTGTGTGGAAGTGTCCTATCTGAAACATCATAAAATTCTGCAGGCGCCCATGGATAATTAATAATGCATATTTAGCTAAATTTTTTTCTAAATTTGTAAATATATTCTTTTCTTTATATATTTTGTTTTATTGTTATGTAATAATAATAATAATAATAATAATAATAATAATAATTATATAATAAGTTATTATGTAATAATAATATTAATAATTATATAATAAGTTATTATGTAATAATATTAATAACTTTATTATTATGTCATTATTAAATAAATTGATTTCCTGTGGTGAGTTTTTTCCTTTTTTTATTTTTATTGTTTGTTTAATATAGACCTACAATTGAAAACTATTTAAAAATGTTATGTTTTGTTATCATGTTAATAAATAAAGACATAAGTGGATGAAGGCGTTATGTCGCAAATATACAAAGTTCCACTGTTATACACAAATAGGGGTGTGAAGTAAATTAAATATCACATACAAAATCTTAAGTGTCTTCTGCGTTTCTCAACCTCTTACTCAGATAGTTAACTTTGTGACTCGTTTTCCTGACAACCCTAATCATTTACCTTCACTTCTTGACTTATGTCTTGTTTCTGACCCTAGCTTATGTTCAGTTTCTCCCTTTTCTCCCTTAGGTGGTTCTGACCATGTAATGATCTCTATAAATCTTTCTTCTCGTACTTCTTTTTTGGGCTCACCTTATCATCGCACCACCTACTACTACCCTAAAGCTGACTGGGATTCCTTTCGTGATTTTCTTCGTGATGGTCCTTGGGCTGATATT